TTGGCTTCACTACTCTTAGTTCATGGTAGCTTGTTGCATTCTTTATGTGGCGTAGTACCTAAGTTGTGTAGGACCCAAGTTTTCAAATGATTTTATTTATGTGGTTCTCTTTAAAGATTGGGTTCTCTTTAATGGTTGTGTAAATGTAGTTATAGAGTACCACTAGATCTCCTCTCCTCTCCTCTCCTCTCATCCTTTGATTTAAGTTCTAAAAGAATGTTATGAAAAATAAGCACCGCTTGTCCCCTGCTCTATGTAGGCCTCAGATGAAATATTCATATGGATGAGGTTGTATTAGTTTTTTGTGGGTATTGTTCTTCCGCTTTAATCTGTTGGATTTTTTATTCACTTGTATGATTACAGATTTTTGTGCTGTCCAGTCTATGGTATTCGTGATGACATATTCATATGGATAAGGTGGCAATAGTATTTTTGTTGGTATTGTTGTTTTTGCCTTTAATTTGTTGGGTCTGTGATGATATATTCATTATGGATGAGGTGGCACTAGTTATCTTCTGCTCTACAATTGTGATCTTCGCCTTTGTGATTATTTGTTGGTTATGGTCTTGTGCTCCCGTGAAGCTTGGCGAGGGTTCAAACCGATGGACTTGGAAGCGTGCAAATCAACCAGAGTAAGTCATCAAGAAAGAAGCTCATAGAGACAATCTTGTTCAATAAGAATACAACAATATACAAATAGATCATATATTCTTCAAGTGGTATACTTCTAGTGATCCACACCTTTCAAGTAGTATCTCTCAAGCTCTATCCATTTTAAGTCAGAATGTAAAAATTACACCTAATATGGGCCATGTTTTATTTTGGTGGTTGATTGACAACATGATCAAATGGACTAATAAAGTTTGCTAATATACAAGGTTTAGTTTATTTGATTCAAGTATGGATTGCACTTATGCAACGTGGAAGACCAAGTGATGAACACCTCAAAGAAGACCATGGAGTAGCTTAGAAAATTATACAAGACTTGCAAGAAGTCCAAGACATCACAGATCAAAGCCCCAACAAAGACATCGTTGAAGCGTGAAGAAAAAATAAGTTACCCTTTTAATGGCACCAGAGAATGCAAGTCAAGGACCAGTACCAATCTTCAGCACCCATCGTAAAAGCTTTGGTGGTGAATTGATGCCAAGCATCGTGAGAGTGCATCGGGAGAGAAGAATTAAGGCCCTAGTGAGGCACTTGAGAAAGGATGGAGCTCTGGTGTTTTCCGTGAAAGAATCCAGAGACCATCAGGGAGTCACAGGAATCCTCCGGTGGCACTAGAGAAAGGGTGTCCAACGGTCAACGTGATCCAATACCAAATTCTAATGGCTTGTCTACATACATCTCCCACCATGGCTTTTTATGACTTGTTTCAACCTAGTGTGTGTGGACTAAGTACCTATTCATCTCACATGAAAAATTAGTTCACCTAAGGTTGCCACTCAATTACTAAACCAAACCCACAAATTTTTCGTGGGCATCCCTGAACAATCGCTCTTGTCCAAAATCGCTATACATGGCCAAGTCACGACGCTGAACGAGTCTACATACACGTAGCACCTCTCTTACACTTTTGTCCTCGCTTCATGTAAAAAGGTTAACCGGGAGATGCTACAAGAATGACAAGGATCATAAGGTGACCTTCACCCTCCTAAACTTCTATGGTGGTACTAACCCACCAACCACAACTCCACATGTGCCGCCATGAGCTACATAGGGGCAACAATACTACTGCTATAGGCTTCTAATGAGTTGGGGTTTACAAACCGCAAAGTGTCACTTGGATGCATTGGTTAGGCTGTTAGGGAGGAGATGGGTCTGCTAAGTGTGAAAATTGCACTTGCCATTTTTAGTGTATATAGATTAATCCCTTTGGTCACACTGCACCAACAAAGGCAACAACACTTGTGTGACAAAGCTATTCTCGCCACATTAGTGTATACGGTGCAACAAGCGTACTAAGAGCAACTCCAAGAGCATCTTTTATATCCTTTTTTAGTTGACGGAATAGAGATTTTGGTGAAAGAAATAACCTCCAACAACTTCTTTAGTTAGGTCTCGAATATAGTCACCTCTATTCTATTTTTGCTAGCCAAAGAGGAGAACAATGTCAGTTTCTCTAGAGTTTTGACAAGATATAGAGAATTTGTTGGAGGATGAAAAGATACAAAGAACGATTTTTATTCAAATGGTTCTCCAAATAATGATTTAGAAATTGAGTTTAAAAGAGACTCTTGAAGACGCTCTGACATGGCAGCTAGATCTAGCACCGTGCATGGTAGGTCCCACCTTGCCACGCTAAGATTGTCTATTGAACTTGTCTACTAATTAGTTGATTAATTCGAATCCCTCGTACAACTCTTATTATTGTTATATGAGTTAATTGTATTGGGAAATATCACAAAGCCACATTGTTTTAAAAAATAATACACATAGGTTTTTCAAATTAAAAGATGACTTTAACATCGTAACCTAGATGTAACTAATATAGACACTTCACAAGAGGGAAAATAACCTTAAATGATGGGCTCCTTTAAAGGATTTCAAATTGTTCTCTAAACAAGGCGGATCTAGAAGAAAGAGTGAGGGCACGTGAAGGAGAAAGAGAGGAGTTGGGTGTAACCCTTGGCCGTGTTTGTTTTATCTATATAAACCAAGGAAATTGAAAGCCTCTCGCTTGCGGTAACTCAGAAGTTGGCGAGCCAACAGAGATTTAAAAACTAGGAGAAATTATTATCAAAATATCAATCGAATATAAAAAAATGAAAAATCATTTATTTTTTCATTTTACTTTTATGTTGAACACGACCTACCACGAGTCACACTACTGCTCCTTTTCGTAAAAAGACTAGGAGAGGTCATTACCTATTGTTAAAACATCGATCATTAAATAAAAACTGTTTATAGGACAACAACCATCCATTGCATTTCCATTACCCACACCCGAACTAACCCCACCCCCCTCGCCTTCTTCCCACCAGCAGTGTTGGCGATCATGTCGGCCACCGCCTGCTGGCATGAAGCGCCAGCCTCCCACCCACTCCTCCTCTCTCTCCTCCCTCAGATCCACCACCTGGGCCACTCCATTTCACCACTCCCTAGGGAGAGCCATGCACACTGGGATGCCATCGCCACCTCTCGGCCTTGCTGCCATCACGGGGTGGCATGGGTCAGGGCCGCAAAGATTGACGCCCGCCTCCCCCTCGGCTCCCATTTCTCCTCCCAAATCCACAACCAACGCCTCACTATAACCCTCCTCAGATAAGTGCACAATGGCAGTGTAATTCCCCACCGGGCGCCGCCCACGCCGATTATCACCCGGCGGGTGCCCCACCACCACCACCACCACCACCGGTGACTTCTCCTCAAAGAACGGATCGCTGCCAGCCGATGCTATCGAGGTTAGCACCACAGGCCTCAGTGCAGCGCCACCATCACAGACGATGGTCCTCCATGAGGTCAGCGCTTCCTCACCCGCTCTGTTAGGGCTTTGGATGTCGATGCTGGCGTGCCCCCTAAATCATGAAGTCCTTCGACATATCGCTTACCTACACACACCGATCGGGCCCAAGACTAGGACTTGCGCTTTAGCTGTGCACCGCCTTAGCTCGCTTCTCTCATCTGGACGCGGCCCGTTTTTCCCGGTTCTCCCACAGGAGGGCGCTTAAAACGTCCGCCAGTAGGTGACGACAACGGTGAGGAGTCCGATGATGAACACCGCAAGAATCACACTGGATAAATGCCGCTCGCCGCCGGCGATGCCGGGCCATCGCGCCACCCACGCGGCGCCTGCATTTTCGCTGGTCCCGTTTCTAGGAGAAGCCTAGCCACGAGACTTGACCGTAGGGCGAGGAAGAGAAGGTGCCGCGTCCCTCGCCTTTGTGTCCGCTTTACCCACGCAGACGGCCGATGGTCGCCCCGCTCGCCCGCTTATCGCCGAAGCGCCACGGACGGTATGCGCCGACGCCGATGCGGTGGTGGGAGATCCCCAACGAGCTTTATGGCGAGATGTTTCAATCGTTTTTCCTACTGCATCGAGTAGCGCATCGCCGTTGCCCCCGGGTGTTGTTCAAGGCCGCCATGGTTTCTGCCACTCGCTGTGGATCGCAGCGGCTTAGGCATGCCGCGACATCGGGCGATAAAGGTGGCCACTCCGCCGAAGCAAGAACCCACGGGTTTCCTAGCATGCGCCACTACGTTTTCGGATGGGGCCGCAGGTCGATGTCGCAATGGGCGTCGACAGTAACCCGCCGCCAACAATGGCGGGCGCCGAGTAAGTTTGCGGGGATTTGACTTGATCACGCGCCGCTCGCTCGCCGACTACCTCGCTTCCAATCGCTGGCCAGACCGCACTCGCCTCGAGCTCGACTTCCATACGGGGTTGAAGCCGTGTGAGCGCCGAGGTCTTTCACGCGGTCGACCCTATATGCCGGAGGAGTCGCCACCACTGCTGTGAATCGCCCAACAGAGCAACAATCATTGGTGCCTCACGCGGCGGTAGAAATGGCCAGATGACACACCTCGTGGACACTGCTTTCCGGTGTTGGAGCTTCACTACCGCTTGCCGTGAGCTCCATAGCGTGAGCACTAGCGCGGTGCTCGCCGCTTCGGCCGCCGCCTTAGAAAGGGACGATAGTCGGTAGACACCATTCCCGGACGAAGATCGCTTAGTGGATGACGGACACGCCTTTCATTGTCGCTCGCAGGGACCACCATAGGTCACGCCGCCATGGAGGGGAACAACATGGCATCGTGGATGCCGGGCGCCTCGACCCAAAGATCGTCGGGCAGCCACGGACACCGCCAACCGCCTTCTTCACCTCGGGATGGCTCTTCGCCAACAAAGCGCTCTCAAGCGCTTCACCGAAAGCGAATGACTAAGGTGAGGCAAACATCACTCTGGAGTCAGTCTCGTTGATGCGATCGACGGCGGGCGACATCGCCCACTCTGGTTTCCAAGAGGAGCAAGTGGATAGCTGCTCAGAAAGCACATTCATATCTCCAAGCCCAAACGAGGCACCTTGTCTTGAAACGCATAGGACTAAATATGGGAAATCGCCTCCGCACGACGCCGATTTTTGAATATGCGGTGCACTACGCGAAGTTGTTTCCATCAGACAACGACGGTGGGAGCGACCGCAACCCGCTCAGTAGGGCCTCCCAGCCAACACATCAATCAAGGTTGATCGCTGACCAATGTAACATGATAGCTTTGGCACAGAGAGGGTCTTAGCTTTCAGTACACTAGAGGTGCTGAGCGTCCATGTAAAATTTATTGACCCCTTAGGGCACCATTAAGGCATGTTGTAACGAATATTTTCTCTATCTTAATCTTAATATAAAGACGCTGCAAATTTTTTTGCGTGATCTAGAGAAAAAGCTGTTTGAAATAAAAAATCATTTTTTTTCATTTCTACATTTCTGTCGAACAGACCTCACCGCGCCGGAATCGCCTTTTCCTCCTCCACAATCTGTCACGCTCTGCGCGCCGCCGTCGACCTATCGAATGGAGGCGGAGCAGCAAAAGCAGCAGCCCCAGCGCCCGCGCCCGCGCCGCAAGGGGCAGAAGCGGAAGTTGGAGGACGAGGCATCCGCCGCCGCCGCCGCCGCCGCGGCCTCGCTCGGCAGCGCAGGCGCCGACGATGACAACGAGGAGGAGGACGGCTCGGCGGGCACCCCCGAGATCTGCTGCCGCCACTCCCACGCAGCGCTTGCCCGCGAGGTCCGCGCGCAGGTTGATGTCCTCGTCCGCTGCGCCTCTTCGTGGCGCCACGCGACCGCGCCGCCGCCAAGCGCGCCACCCACGTCCTCGCTGAGCTCGCCAAAACGGTAACCTCCCCTTCGCCAAACCTCACCCGGCCGCACCGATCCGTGCACCCGCATCCTTACCGAGTGGATCTGGTGGTTGTCAATTGAGCAGAGGAGGTTGTCAACGTGATTGTAGAGGGCGGCGCTGTGGCGGCCTTGGTGTGCCACCCAGAAGAGCCTGCTGTGGCGGCGCCAACGCAGGAGGAACAACAACTGCGTCCGTTTGAGCATGAGGTTGAGAAGGGCGCTGCCTTCGCTCTGGGCCTCCTAGCTGTGAAGGTTCCTTCATTAATTCCCTAATTGAGTTGTAGATGCACTTTTGGTACCAATGCAATTACTTGTATTATCGACAAATTTATGTTCTAAATAGGGCTGTGAATTTTCAAGTTTCCTGTGGTATAGGATTACAAAGTTTAAGAATTTCAACTATCCCATGTTTATATATACTGTAATTCTGAACGCCCAAACCTCATCCTCATATATCTGTATTTTTGTAAAAACTGTAAGATCCCATGCCTTTTAATAGTTAGAAAACCTAGGAACTTCCAAGTGCTATATACTTGGTGTCTTTCTAGTCAGTCTCTAGCACCCTTTAGAAAACTTAGGAACCTAAGATATCCTAATCGCTCTAGTTCTGTAGGGACCTTTTAATAGTTGTGTTTTGAGCAATTGATGCTTTACTCTTATGTACTTTTCATCAAGTTACTATTGCTATGGTCAATTTAATCATTTATTCTGTGTTCACTGTAACAGCCTGAACATCAACAACTTATAGTTGATGCTGGTGCACTACCTCCTCTAGTGAAACTCTTGAAAAGGCAGAAAAATACTACAAATTGAGGGTGGTTAATAGCGTTATCAAGAGAGCAGCTGATGCAATTACAAATCTTGCATATGAGAATAGCAACATCAAAACTAGCGCCAGGTTTTGTTTTATGCCTTTTGATCATTTGATAACGCTTTCCTTGAGAAGCTTTCACTTGCTGAGGGTTTTGTTTTACTGCAGAATGGAAGGTGGAATCCCACCACTTGTTGAATTGCTAGAATCGCAGGATCTTAAGGTGCAGAGGGCAGCTGCAGGTGCCTTTATGGACTTTAGCCTTTAAAAATGATGAAAATAAAACTCAGGTGAGATATCAAAATCAATGAAGGCTATAATTATGTTAGATTTTGACATCTGAACTTGCATATGCCTTTTACACATATTCATTTACATGGTAAATTCCTGTAATGCAGATTGTTCAATGCAATGCTTTTGCCAACTTTGATCTTAATGCTGCGATCTGAAGATGCTGCAATTCACTATGAAGCAGTAAGGCCTTGTGCTATTCTCCAGTCTTGATTACGAGGCACTGAATACTCTGATGTGAACTCCACTTCTAAGAGCACTTTCTCACACTGTTGAGATGTATCGCTTGATTGATTATGAGCAGGTTAATGTTGTTACAAATAAATGATCATATCATTTGAAATTGTGCCATCTCTACAATTTTTTGCACAATCCTTAATCAGCATTTATCATTGCAAGGCCTTGTGAAATATAAAATTTTAATGCTCCATCTTGAAACTTAATGCTGGATCATAACACTGTATATTTAGTTGGGAAATTTCATGGTAGACTATGTTTCATCCTCTATTACATGGACAATTTTGAATGTATTTCCAAAGTTGAATAGAAACTTAATTTTGGCTATTAGCAGTTACCTTGATAGATATTGTGTTGTCCCACAACACATTTATATCATAGGCTTTGCATAATTTATTCAATATTTCCTGCCATGTAAGATGCAGTTTGATTAATATTTTCTGATCCCATTGATGAAATTATATTAATTTGGATTCATGATTACCCTGAAGTTGTGCACTGATATTGATCTATTGCATATAGCCAACCTTAGTGAAACCACTAGCAGTGCGTTTGGCAACTATTGGGAAAGGGCATGAGAATTGGTGGTGGGAGTTGTAGCGAATTATGAGAATTTGATTTTAGGTCCAATCGCTTGTTTGGTTCATTGAGGGAAATAAGACACGGAAAGAGGGTGTGTGTGGTTTTTTTTTCTGTGAGAAAGGGAAGTGATTGGTAGGAGTTGCCCTGTAAACTCACTTTCCCGCCCCACCAAACAAACAAAAGATTTCTAAACTCTTACCCCCAAACTCCCATTCCCTTGTACCAATTACCCCCAACCAAACGTGTCAGAGAGGTTATTGAATTGGCTAAGGTAAATATCTTGAACGCACTCTCTCTGTCTCTCTCTCTCTTGTCAACTGGCTATAGACCTTAATGGCTGTATTAAGCTAGTTCAAGCGATCTTTGAGGCTGAAATTGAAGATTTGAAAACTTAGCAATACACCCAAATAAGTTTGAGGCCAGTGGTGCAGCTGCAGGTTAAGCTCTGTATCATGGTGCATGTACATGGATGCTTGAAGAATTAAATGTTTATTTGAATGCATAAATGTGCGGCAAGTACTGAGACAACACTAGAGGCTGAGGCTATTTACTACTTGGTTCCTGAAATATTTCAAAAAGTAATCTGCACCTGCTACTTGTAACATGTTTGCTAAGTAAACTTGATTGTAGAAGCTTATGCAAAACAAATAAATTGCATGAAACTGGTCTGAGGCTCTGAGTTACCTCCTTATATTGACTTGTTGTTCTATGCTCTTTTATCCGTTGAATAAACTTCTACATGGTGCAAAGTTACCTTTCTGTACTAATCTTCCTTATCAATCCAACATGTTTGCTGATAAACTTTCATAGAATATCAGCACAATCTTGGATCTAATCTATTAATGATTTCTTTAATTTTATTGCAATGCACTCTAACCATTTTTCTCGATTGACATGTTAGGTTGGTGTCATTGGAAATTTGGTTCATTCATCACCAAACATCAAGAAGGAGGTTCTTAATGCAGGGGCACTGCAACCTGTGATTGGATTATTAAGGTATGGTCATCATAGGGAAGTGCAGCTTTATTAGGTGCATAAAGAACTTTATAATTGTATATATTTGTTAGGTTCTCCAATACTGCTAGCATAGTTGTGCATGTTTTTTTTAATTATTATCACTAGTAAATATGCCCGTCGTGCTGCAACGGAAAAAGTTTTTGTATAAAAGAGGAGAAAGAGTAAGGTCCTTTAGAAATGTCCATGCGTTGCTATGGAAAATTCTAATTCTTTACGTGAGAAAGGGGGACCAAAATAGATGATCTCCAAGTAGAATAATTACTGCAAAGGTATTCCTTCCATTCCAAAGGAATGGACATGCAGGCTGCAACATGATGTTCTAAGAACTCAAGCTGGTATGGGCCCAACCTATAACATTAAGTTTTTCTGGGATTATTTTTGAATCCTAAAACATCACATGTTCTGAAACGGAGGGAGTAAGATGGAAAAAAGGTAAATAAATTTCTCAAAAAGTTGGTCTGCTTCAAGGACATCAGATGAGATCAGAGTTAAATTCTCATCCATGATTGATGATTCCTTCTGGCTCCATAGCTGTGGGTAAGTTTTTAGTGCAAGTTGAGTGAATGGCTTGGTAACAATCAACACTGCGTTAATTTCTCTACATGTGCATATAGAGAATACAGTCTGATATTGATAAGGAGCTAGCTCCTTCGATTTTCATCTGTTAGTAGAGCCATCAAGAATTTCCATGCACCTACGCTGGACCTACTTCTAAAATCTAGGAAACATGCCCCTTCTAAAATATAGGATATATGAATCATCTAGGATACATGGCCCTTTTTAAAATATAGGACATATGGACCATTGGCCACTCTTTTTTTTCTCTGAAGCTAAAAACTGTTCAGTTAGTGTGGGTTAGATTGACTTCCTTGTACATTAGTTAGTCGTTAAACTGTTGCATGCCCAAACAACCAGAAGAGAGTTCCATATTGTTTCTCGGGCATGGGAGTTGCTTGTGGCTTGATTCAACTCAATTAGCATCGATATGGTGGCTAGTTGATTGAGCAACATGTTAGGTTTCACGCACCAACCAAGTGAACCCAAAAGCTTAAGCAATTGGGAAGAGGTGGGCAATCCACTAATACTTCACAGCACTCCCACTCACGTGCAGCCAGAACAAGGCGCAAACGTGGAAATAAAGGAGGGAGCGGAGGACTTAAAAGATGCCTCTACGAGGACTCGAACTCGAGACCTCTGGCTTTGATACCATGTTAGTTTCATGCACCAACCAAGTGAACCCAAAAGCTTAAGCGATTGGGAAGAGGTGGGCAATCCACTAATACTTCACAACACAACACACATATTTATTGAGGCCAATAAACACGCATTTATTGAGGCCAATGTTCAATAATTGAATAAGATGTGAATCTGAAGAAACACAGATAGAAAAGGAGAAGAATTGCAGACCTTGCCATCAAGTTCCGTGGGAGTGGGTTAGCAGCTCGGCCGTGCTGCCCACGACTAGACTCAACACCACTCGTTGATCGCGGAGGAAGTCAAACCTCTAAAAGCCATGGACTCCATGGCCCATGGGCCTCCACCACGACATGCCGGATGCCTGGATCTGGTATCCCAGGTTGGAGGTGGAGGATGAAACTTCCAATACTGCACTGTCACAAGGAAGGCGAGGGGCATGCTAAGAAGCTCTACACTTGACCACGGAGCCGGTGCCGTCTTCTCACAGGTGTTCTCCAGATCTCCTCCCACGGGGCAGTCATGCTTCATGACCGTCGTGGGGCCAATGGCCGTGTCGAAGGAGGTGTAGCAGGCAGGCAGGCGGAGGTGTGAGCCAAGGGCGGGTCTTGAACAGTTGGACGAAAGTCAGGGTGCATCATTGGACGAGACGAGGGAACATACGTTCATGCGGAGGGACCGCTGGTGGGGGGCGAATGAATGTATGAATGGGCTTGGCTGACGGACAAAATCCTGAGGAGAGAAACTTTTGCTCTTTAATACTCCCACTGTCCAAAAAGAATGTAATTTCTCTTCCCTAGGAGTCAAACAATGTAAAGTTTGACCAAATCTATACTAAAAAATACTAACATTTATGATACAAAATATGTATCGTTAGATTAACTATAAAAATATATTTTATAGTAAACCTAAATGGAAACATAAATGTTGATACTATTTTCTTTAAATTTAGTTAAACTTAAGAAAGTTTGACCTGTTTCAAATCTAGAATATACATTCTTTTTGGGACGGATGGAGTATTAGGTATAGATATATACTGCATGTTCTGTTGAGCTTGAGCATGCCTTACAAATGTTCTATTAGAGCATCTCCAACAGATTACTTATCCTGCATCCCCTAAAAGTCTATATAAGTGATCTATTATGTATTATTAGTAGTGTAGCTCTTCTCCTCTCCCAACATATTACCAGTACTTTTAAAGTTGATAGGGAGAGGGAGTGGATAGGGATTTTAAGTAGTTACTTAAAACTTTTAGGTATTGGAGATAGGTTGAGTAATCTGTTGGAGCAACCACAATCCCTTAAATTGCATATTTTAAGTAGATACTCGACCATGGCTTTGTCTTAAAGAGGAGGAGTATTGAACCCCGGTTGTCCAAAAAACTCGCTGAAACTGGTTCAGTGAGGTATCCACATTTGGTGAGGGACTGGAATTTTGGGTGGGTGGCCTTCTTGTTGGGAAACTGTACCAACCAAGCTACTGGCTCCTTTCTCATCTTGTATTCTAGAATACCATCTTATTCAAATGAGAAGGTTCTTTGTCATTGTTATTTAAGTTTTAAAGGGTGTTCTATGATTTGCTCTACACCGCAACTCACCTCAAGAATATCTGCTTGATGTATGAAACATTGCTTTTTTTTTTTTTTCAGCTCATGTTGTACAGAAAGCCAAAGAGAGGCTGC